TGACCATGTTAGACTTGAATTCTTGATTCTAAAGGAAGAAAAAGCCAAATGTAGCCAAACATGTACCCTGAATTTGAGGAAAGCGATTTTGAATAAACTCAGAACAATAATAAGTGAAGTGCCATGGCAAGTGACTCTAATGAGAAAAGGAATCTGAGATGGGTGGGAATGTTTTAAAACAAAATTCTAAAGGCACAATTACAAGCAGTTCCAACTAGGAAAAGGGGTAGAAGAAGAAGCCTATGTGACTTCACAAAAAGAAATGATCTAAGGGGGGCATAAATAAGGGCATGATGTGGAAGGCTACAAAGGAAGAATATAGACAAGTAACACAGAATTGCAGGAAAGCTGTCAGGAAGGCTAAAGGTAGGGATGCTGAGGCAAGTGAGGGATGCTAAAAGTAACTGAAACTAGTGAGGAGCAGGGGATTGGACCAGATGGTCCTCTGGTCCTTCCAACTCTATTATTCTATGCTTTTATTCTTTTATTAATCTGAGCCATATCCACTTCCTGAGATTGCACCTTCCAGAGGTGTCAGAACACTAAAATAATTCATAATAATTGCCAGTCTTTCAATTGGTCAGGCAGGATCTCGGATACAGATCTTAAAGCTCAGATATTTCTAACCTCCCAGGCATGATCCAGAGATTTTTGTTTGCATTAGCTGGTTTCATTAGGCTGCCGATTACAGAGATTTGCATTACAATAGACATTCTATTTTCCTTTCCTTTCCTTGTTTACTTTTACAGGTGTCCAATTCGTTCCAATAAGGACAAAATGTATGCTAGGTCTTTTGTGGAATACCTTCATATTTTTCATGTTCTAAACATTATTTTGAAAGAATTATGTCCTACTTGCTTAGATCTATAATTGGTTTGCCCAGGTGTCTTGCTGGTGCTACTCTTAATTTTAAAGCTAGGATTAATTCCTTAAACTGTTTGACTTGAATATATTCAATCCATTTTCACTTCATTGCTGTCTTTTGCTTACATTTCTTTTGTATCCCAGATGATGATAGACTTATACAAATTTGCCTGAATGAAGGAAGGCATACATAAAGTTTTTTCTCAGCAAGGCTATTTCTATGTGTTATGTATGAATTCTTAAACAGAGGCTAATGAATATTGATTCCGAAGACCTCTGTAGAGTGGCACCAGTGTATATGCTTCCCTTGGTCATTGAGTTTGTTAAGTCCAAATGTCAAAACTGGGATAGACTGTTTAAAATTATTGTCTTTTCTCAAATATAGGATAGATTTTCCTCTGGGTCTGTGAACTGATCTCCTCTGTAATTTTTCAGTTGTAACTTCCAGTTAATAGGAAGCATTGCCTATGCAATAATGAAGAGGTGGGATATGTCCATTATTGCCTTCTTCAACTGTTACTTTTATCGAGGTGATAAAACAACTTTGATTTAACCTATTACACATTTTTTTACCTTGCTGAATAATTTACTCACTTTCAGAGCAATTTCCTACACTTTAAGATAGAGCCATCTGACTCAAACTCTCTATGATTCTTTCATGAGTCTTCTGTTAACTTTTAGATTCTATCTATCTATCTATCTATCTATCCATCTATCCTGTATAATCTTTTATTCTATTTGTATGTGGTCAGTAGATCACTTCTAGATGTTCTTGATTGACTTGACCCCTGATACAGATCTTAAAGTTTAGGTATACTTTTATGAATGCAGGCAGTGCTTTAGAGGATATGCTCCCAAAGCTAATACCAGCACCTTAAATTGGACCTGGAAAATAAATTTGATACCAAACATAACTGGTGCAGAGGCGGTATGCTTAGCTTGTACAAGCATTCTGCTATGTTCTGCAGCAATCTTAGTTTCTGGATGATCTTTAAGGCCAGTACCACATAAAGATGTGATATGTATGTTCACTGATTTTATTTGATTTAGAATATATATCATATAAAAACTATAGAGATCTACGAATATGTATGCCCAAAGCTATGCTTTCGCACCCTGATGATGATGGAAACATAGGATGTGCAGTTTTTACAGTTCAGTTGATGGAGAAAAATGATTCTGTGATTTGATGGCAGTTTTGGGGAGATTCCAAATAAAATTATTTAAATACAAGAAGAACTATTTGATTATGTTGGAAAGGTATGGCTCAGTGTAGCATTGAACCTGATTTTTAAGTCATCTTTCATGTGGTAACAGTTTGTACCATGGTGCTTCAGGGGACAATCCTATGAATGTTTAGAAAGGAAAAGGTACATCATTAGCAGGGTCTTGTAGGATTTTTCTCTGCCTAAACATACATAGAGTTGCACCCTAAGTGTTTTGGTTGCATTACAAAGAAGGAGGCTAGGGAGAAAACCATAATCAGTTTGCTCTGGCAACCATTGGTTTTGACTGTATGACATCAGCCCAGGTTCTGCCCACCAATCACCCGTGGTACAATCAGCTACTGCTCTTGACTGACAGATTTAAAAAATAATTAAATCTTATCCGTTTACATTCTGCAAATAGCTGCAAGACAGCTGATATCAATAAGACAATGAAAATACAAATGCTAAAAATCAGATAAATATCACAACAAAACAATATCAAACAGGAGGGCCCCAAGGCCTTCTCCTCCTACACTGGCTATTACACATAGAATTGTTTCTTCCTAATTTCAACGGCTCATTATTGAATAATGGTCTAGTTTATACATAATAGTAACTTTAAAAACCACCTTGAATTATCACGAATTAGTCAGTGTTCTAATTTATGCAGTACCATGTTTTATTATTATTTTAGGATTACATTTATATACCACCTTTTTCCTGTAACAGGGAAGCCAAGGAAGTGTGTGTGGACCATCATCCTATTCCTCTCATTTTATTTTCACAACTACCCTATGGGTATATTAGGCTGAAAGTCAGGCCCCAGCCACCCCATTAGCAACATGTAGATTGGAGACCACAACCTGGAAATCCTAAGACCCAGCCTAGCACAAACCACTACACTATACTTACAGTTGCCTGCAGAACTGACTGAATAATGCACTTTTCCTGAGTTGTTTAGCATGCCATCCAAACCTGGAATCCTTGCTTGTCTTTTCCCCAAAAATCAAGAATTGGATAGTGCCAAGAAAAGACCCCATTTTGGCCATTTGTTTATCTCTCTTTTTCAGAGACTTTTCCTGTATGTGATAAACATCTTAGCATGCAAACAGAATTAGGATCAGTGCTGTTAGAAGTCCAATAATTATATCAAAAGAAAGTTCTGGAAATGGGGCAGTATAAACCAATGGCATCTTGAACTTTTTTCTTCTAAATCAGGATACAATGAGATACTTTTGTTTTATATTGTTTTATTATTTATTCAGTATTTATTAACTCAACTTACATTCCACAATTAAATTAGTTCCAAGGACTCTCTAAATGGATGGCAAAAAAGTACCAATATTTTACATATATAGTGCTCTCAGGAAAAGTGAGATTAAAAAAATATGAGATGAGGATAATGATGACAGTGCTGCTTATGTCAATTGATCAAGCTCAGTTTACTTTTAATATTAAAGAGGCACAAAGGACAGCCTCAGCAAATGGCAACACGGGTTATAAGGGGCCATATCCTTGTGTGCTGATAAGATACTGTAGTGTGTGTGTGTGTGTGTGTGTGTGTGTGTGTGTGTGGTGTGGGGGTAAAATAGACTGAACTGATTTGATCATGGTATTCTACTCAGAGATGCGAAACTGATTTTTTTAATTGCCCCACAAGCTGTGTGAATGTATAATTGTTACTGCCTATAGCACAGTAGTCCTTTGAAGCAGCACAGCATATTCCTTGCCATTTATTTCCCAGCCTCTTTTTTTGTGTGCTCTTCACCTGTCATAGATTATCACTCAACTGTGCTAACTTGTGTGGGCAGTGTGAGTAGAACAGATGACTATGGGACACTGCATCAATTCTTTAAGAGACCAGATGGTTGCCATGTCCTGTGAGTCTTGCTATATGCTAGCTGTTTGTTAGACAGCAAGTCATTTCAGGGTGGTCTAGAAGTTCATTGATAATGTGGCGGGACAGAATGACTGGTACTCATGCTCAAAATTGTCCACTCTGAGAGCACACTTACTTTACAATCTTCATACTTGTAGTTAAGATGGTTGTGGCTTACTCTCATCTCTGACGGACCACATAAATAGCAATGTGTATTACTTTTTATGCAAAAGAATTATTTCTAGGAGCAGAGGCTTGTCTATAAACCTCTGGCTGGCATTCTAGGAGTAGCACTTCAGTGAGATGAAGGACAATAAGTCAGCCCTGGACTCTGTACTTATCTTCAACTCATTTCTACTCCTGAAACTGGTTATATTACAGCCACTATATGTACTTTTAGGAAAGGAATAGCAGATTTAATATGATTAAATGACCGAGTTTTATTTCAATCTACACATTTAGATCTAGGTCTCCATCTAATCTATAGATTTAGATTTACTAATTTACAGGTTCTATATTTTGTCTGATATGATCCAACATTGCTTTGTTTCAGCAACGTATGATCATATTTCTCACATATCTTTTATTTACTGTATGTGTTACAGTAAGCATGCTTTGGTCCTAATGAAGGATAACTTCAACTTTGTTACAGATGTGAAATATTTTAAAGGCATGTACCATTATAACAGAAGTAAAATATTCAACTCATGTAGTTAGAGCTGGGGTAAATGTAGGTTGTCATATATTGATAACTGATGCATGTTAGCTCTATTTTATCATAGTGCTTTAGATCAAGGGCAGAGTGACTGATATTATTAATAAAGCCTTGATACCACATGAACATAGCAATACTAATTTTATGGCTGTAAAGTTTTTAAGTAATGCATTGTGCAATAAAAATGTCATGAAGATTAATGTTCAGTGGAATTATCTAATTCCACATAATAAATTATCTTCTGAGGTGTATCCCAAGCTAGAATAAGTCTGCTGTATTCCAGGTGAGAAATTAAGCTGAGCAGTGATTTTTACCTACTCTGTTTCAAATGCAGATATGACATCAAAGATGACTACACCTTGCGTATTAAAAAGGGAATGAGCTCAGATGAGGGAACCTATACATGCATAGCTGAGAACAGGGTTGGAAAAGTTGAAGCATCTGCTACTCTCACAGTTCGAGGTGAGTACCGCAGTGTTTGAAAAAGCTTGCACTGAATATCTTTTGCTTCTGTTTTCTGAAACAATACAAATTTGATCATTTTGAGAAGACTCTGTCTGAATAAGTTAAAGATATTAAAAGTGACTTGTGGATTTTATCTTATTATCCATTTTTAATGATAATAATTAGTTTATCAGTTGAAGATTATAGTTTAGGACAGGGTTCTCCAACCTGGCATCATCCAGATGTTTCAACTGCATCCAAAATGGTCATTCTAGGAATTGTAGTCCAAAATACAAATTGTGGGAGGCAGATTTAGGATATAAGGAAATGTAAAATTGAGAAAAACCAAGCAAACCAAGCAAAGGACTTCTCAAACCCTAGTACCTTTTAGTGGACTTTAGAAAGGTTGGACATGGGACCTTGTACATACAAGTGTATGCTCTGTCAGTCAACTGTCAGTCCATCCCTTCATAACAGAGTGGGAGGCTATGTGGCCCTCCAAATATTTTGGTCTATAATTTCCAAGATCTCTCACCAATAGCTAGAATTTCTAACTTCATTCACTATTAGTTATGCTGGCTTGGTTGATGGCAGTAGTAGATCAAAACATATCTAAGGCCAAAGTTGCCAGCTTTTGTGTTTTATAAATAATTCACAATACTGGTCCGGAGTTTATGAGTCAAAATGTTTTTCCAAGTACCCTCAAGCTAGCTTATTAGAAATTAAATGCACAGGATTCCTTTTTTATAGATGTATGATGTTTACTAGAAAAATTTACTTACTGAGCAGATATCAACACAATGTAAAGTATTCCAAATGATCCTAATGAGCTATGGAAATGTCTTCTGACAAGAATCATGTAGAAAAGGAATTTGTAAAGTTTAGGAGCAGGAATTTGGCAATATGTGAAAGATGCTTATACAGAACAAAGAAGGGGATGTATGTGATGTATAAGAACAGGAAAGGAGAAGAGTGATTAAATAGATTCCAAGATAGTGACTAGATACATTTCCAGGGTAGCGAGAGAAAAGGAAGAAGGAAATGGTAGCAAAAAGGAGATATTGGGAGACATAAATATCTTTATGGAGTAGAAAGAATGCCTTCCTTAGAAAATACGTTTCCCTTCATTGGATAATTTTTATTCAAGAACTCTTGCTTTTATGAAATTCTGATATCCCTCTCCCACACACACACTTCTGCTTAAGGTGTGCAAATTAGCAAAAGATGATGATGATGTTTTCAAAATTGTACCTTTAAGTGCATTGCAACTTGTCTCTGTATCATTTCAAGTTTTTCTCCCTTTCACATTAAGAATATACCCCCTTTCATACCCATTTTAAATATGTACACATCAGCTATGCATATTTTGAAAAGTGCACATTTTCCCATTCGTTAAAGCATCTAT